AACGTGTTAGTCATGTAATAATAATTTGTTAATAACGTGTTTATGTAATAATAACGTGTTAGTAATGTAATAAAAACTTGTTAATAACGTGTTCATGTAATAATAATGTGTTAATCATGTAAAAATAACTTGGTAATAAAGTGTTCATGTAATAATATTGTGTTAGTCATGTAATAATCACTTGTTAATAACGTGTTCATGTAATAATAATGTGTTAGTCATGTAATAATAACTTGGTAGTCACGTAATAATAACTTGTTTGTCATGTAATAATAACTTGTTAGTCATGTAATTATAACTTATTAGTCATTTAGTAATAACGTGTTAGTCTTATAATAATAACGTGTTAGTCATGTAATAATAACTTGTTAATAACGTGTTCATGTAATAATAACGTGTTAGTAATGTAATAACAACTTGTTAATAACGTGTTCATGTAATAATAACGTGTTAATCATGTAATAATAACTTGTTAATAACGTGTTTATGTAATAATAACGTGTTAGTCATGTAATAATAACTTGTTAATAACGCTTTCATGTAATAATAACGTGTTAGTCATGTAATAATAACTTGTTAATAACGTGTTCATGTAATAATAACGTTTTAGTAATGTAATAACAACTTGTTAATAACGTGTTCATGTAATAATAACGTGTTAATCATGTAATAATAACTTTTTAATAACGTGTTCATGTAATAATAACGTGTTAGTCATGTAATAATAACTGGTTAATAACGTGTTTATGTAATAATAACGTGTTAGTCATGTAATAACAACTTTTTAATAACGTGTTCATGTAATAATAACGTGTTAATCATGTAATAATAACTTGTTAATAACGTGTTCATGTAATAATAATGTGTTAGTCATGTAATAATAACTTGTTAGTCATGTAATAATAACTTGTTAGTCATGTAATAATTACTTGATAGTCATGTAATAATAACGTGTTAGTCTTATAATAATAACGTGTTAGTCATGTAATAATAACTTGTTAATAACGTGTTCATCTAATAATAACGTGTTATTCATGTAATAATAACTTGTTAATAACGTGTTCATGTAATATTAAAGTGTTAGTCATGTAATAATAACTTGTTAGTCATGTAATAATAACTTGTTAGTTGTGTAATAATTAACTTGTTAGTCATGTAATAGTAACGTGTTAGTCTTATAATAATAACGTGTTAGTCATGTAATAATAACTTGTTAATAACGTGTTCATGTAATAATAACGTGTTAGTCATGTAATTATAACTTGTTAATAACGTGTTCATGTAATAATAATGTGTTAGTCATGTAATAATAACTTGTTAGTCATGTAATAATAACGTGTTAGTCTTATAATAATAACGTGTTAGTCATGTAATAATAACTTGTTAATAACGTTTTTATGTAATAATAATGTGTTAGTCATGTAATAATAACTTGTTAGTCATGTAATAATAACTTGTTAGTTATGTAATAATAACTTGTTAGTCATGTAATAATTACGTGTTAGTAATATAATAATAACGTGTTAGTCATGTAATAATAAATTGTTAATAACGTTTTTATGTAATAATAACGTGTTAGTCATAAAATAATAACTTGTTAATTACGTGTTCATGTAATAATAATGTGTTAGTCATGTAATAATAACTTGTTAGTCATGTAATAATAACGTGTTAATCATGTAATAATAACGTGTCAGTCATGTAATAATAACTTGTTAATAACGTGTTCATGTAATAATAACGTGTTAGTCATGTAATAACAACTTGTTAATAACGTGTTCATGTAATAATAACGTGTTAATCATGTAATAATAACTTGTTAATAACGTGTTCATGTAATAATAACGTGTTAGCCATGTAATAATAACTTGTTAATAACGTTTTATTCATGTAATAATAATGTGTTAGTCATGTAATAATAACTTGTTAGTCATGTAATAATTACTTGTTAGTCATGTAATAATAACGTGTTAGTCTTATAATAATAACGTGTTAGTCATGTAATAATACCTTGTTAGTCTTATAATAATAACGTGTTAGTCATGTAATAATAACTTGTTAGCCATGTAATAATAACGTGTTAGTCATGTAATAATATCGTATTAGTTATGTAATAATAACTTGTTAATAACGTGTTCATGTAATAATTTCGTGTTAATCGTGTAATAATAACTTGTTAATAACGTGGTCATGTAATAATATCGTGTTAGTCATGTAATAATAACTTGTTAATAACGTGTTCATTTAATAATATCGTGTTAGTCATGTAATAATAACTTGTTAGTTATGTAATAATAACTTCTTAGTCATGTAATAATAACATTTTAGTCATTTAATAATAACGTCTTCATAACGTGTTTGTGTAATAATAACGTGTTACTCATATAATTACAACTTCTTAGTCATGTAGTAATAGTTTGTTAGTCATGTAATGATGATGTGTTAGTCATGTAGTATTAAATTGTTAGTCATGTAATAATATCGTGTTAATAATGTGTTCATGTAATAATAAAGTGTTATTCATGTAATAATAACGAGTCATGTAATAATAACATGTTGATAATAAGATTGAGCTCTGGCATAAAGTGGAGTTGATTAAATGAATATGATTAACTATGACAGCTCAACTTTATTTAAAGTTTCATATTGTTTTCACAAAGGCATCGAATTTGCTTTTAAACGAATTTGTTGTTTTCGATTTTTAACTGCATCCAAAATTTTGTTCAAAACATTAACCACTCTATTCAAGAAAAAGTATTCTTTTTTTGGACAGTTACTTGTGAATTGTTTGATTAGTCGTTCCTTTTTTCTCCTAACTGCACCTGTCCTACCAGGATAATTCCCAGATCGGGTCTTGTTTGGTGGGGGGATCCAGGATTTAATGTTAAGTGTGCAGTACTTTTCTTAAAATACTGAATTGCATCTACACGTGGGCTACGTGCTTTGACTGATTAGATATTGAGTAGGGCTAGCTCATATTCGTATTTTTCTTCCTTTAATGAATGGCATAACTTGGCGGCTCTTCTTTGTACTCGTTCGATAATATTTTCATCGACTTTGTTTAATGGTGCTCATGCAGGCTTTCCTTTTTTAGCTTTAACTGCTGACTTTAACTGATATTAGCTTTAAATGCTACAGGTTTTGATTGGGCTGACCATTTTAGATCGCTAGTTTATAAAATTCCAAGATCTCGCTAATGGTTGGTAAACAATAAGTATGTGCGGCTATTATCTTGTTTTTTTATGCTGAATTTGTGATTATAGATTTTATTTTGAACTATTTTTTCTTCTCAATACATTGAATTTGTTTGCAATAAACTCCATTTTCAATTATCAGCCTATGTAGCCACAGCATTAAGATCTGTCTGCAGTTGTTCAATATTAAATTGATTCTTTATTATACTTTTTATTTTGTTGTCATTAGCAAAGCGCTTGAGTGAAAATTTGACAACGTTTGTCATATCATTCATGTACACCATAAACAGTAAAGGATATAGAACAGATCGTCGTGGCACACCACTCTGAACTTTTATCCACTCAAAGTAGCTTTTGTCAACAAGAATTCTTTGTTTTCTGTCCATAAGGAATTTTTTTAGCCATCTCACCTTTGAAACTATAGGTCTCTATTTGACAACTTAACTTAATTTACCAACTAACGCTTCATGACAGACTTTATCAAAGGCTTTAGCAAAATCCAGATAGATTATGATTGATAAAGGCCACAGTTCAGTGTGTCTGATAAGATGTCTATTGTCTCTAATAATGGTTTTCTCTTAAGAAGCCATGTTGATGCTTAGCGATTTATATGAACTGAACTAGGTGAACTTGGTCTATTACTGACTCTATTAATGAATATTCATCAAAGCTGAACCATTTAAGTGTTCCTCTACCATTTTGCTTTGCGTATAATTTTCAGGCGCTGAAGCGAAGAAAATGTGCGCTCACATTCACATGAAGTTAAAGGAAAGATAGCAAGTAACTGTAGACAAATTTTTATGTTCTCAAAGCTAGGAAAATTTATTGCTTTTAAAGTCTCAGTAATATTAGAAGGGACATTACCTTCAAAATTTAATCAATAAGCTTCCCTTAGGTCAAGCTCACCAGGTAAAGCTTATGGATTTGGTGAATCTGCCCTGTAAAATTCTTTAAAGAACACTATACATTATTTCCAACTAGTGTCACGAGAACTTCGAACTAATGAAATCATTTTAGTAGGAACTAGGACAACCCCTTTATAAAATTTTATGGGATGTCAAACCTTGTGCCTAGTTCAGTACTCAGATAGTCTAACAAAGGAATTGTGATTGCTATTTTAAAATAATCAGAAACTCCGAAGGAGCATTATTTCTGTTTTTTGAAATAAATGAAGTTCTTGGCTTAGCTTCAGTAACACTTTGCTCATGGGCTGTTTTTAGAGCTTGTTCATAGCACTTTTGATGGTGTTGATCAGCTATACTTCTAAGCGAAGATATAACATCTTTTAATGCCCGAATAAGATTTAAACCATCATAAATATCATTACTCTTTGACTGCAACATTCGTGTTATTGGAAGAGTAATGTCAAAGACATTTCTTGTTATACATAAATAACAATAAAGTCAAAATCTGTTATTAACTTCAGAAGCGAGAATGCACTAGCAGACGTTGAGTGATTAAAACTCTTAACATTCAAGGACATTTCTTCAAGACAAGAAATTAAATGAAAAAGTTCTTAAAAAGTATCCAAGCCATTAACTTTTTCTACCCAACGCGTTCTGCAAATATCTTTCAATTTTTTTTACCAGCAACTGGAGCAGTTCTTTCAATGTGCTCCTCTAATTTTTGTTGCCTTGTAGGTAAAAGATTAAAAAAGTATGATACATCTTTAACATGCGCCAAAAGATTTTTGACATATTGAACATTGCATAATGCACAAATGGCTAAATTAAGTCTATGACTGTAACAATGAACATATATAGTTTTTTCATTAAGATTTAAAACACGAGATGATAACCCTTTGGTTTATCCAGACATTGCCCCAGCATCATCATATGACTGATCTCTACATTTAATGATATCCAACGAAAAATCTGAAATACTTTTTAACAAAACACTAAATAATCCTTGACCAGTAACACCGTTAATGCAATGTAAAAAACTAATAAATTCTTCTTTTATATTGAACTTGGAATCAACAAATCGTATTACTAATGATAGTTGTTTTTTGTTATTACTGGCTGAGGCTTCATCAGCTATAATAGAAAAATACTTAGAGTTTTTAATTTTTCCAATTATTGCGTCAGTAGCAACTTCTCCATAACACTTTATTAGTTGATTTTGTGATGTCTTAGATATGTAGGAAGCATTTTGTTGATGATACTTGAGATAATCTTCAAGAACTTTATCACCTTGAGCTTGAACACGGAAATGTAGCAATTCAATAAAATTTCCTGCAGTGTGATTAGAAAATTCACCAATTTCAGGATGAAACTTAGAGTCGTCTCTATGCCCACGTAAAGAAAGCCCAAGACGCCCACAAAGAATAATTGTTTCAATAAAAGGTTGCAAAAACTGTCGATTTTTGGAAATGTGATTGAACTATTTTTTAAGATATAATGTCTCTTGGTTCTGTTTTACAAGACCAAATCGATGATAATTAAAATAAAACTTGAGCAGTTTTTACATGTAAACCTTTATTTCTGCAGACAGACTTATTATTTTTGCCAAACATATATTTCTGAAAGTATTGAGAAGCACCATTGCAGCGATCATAAGGCTTACTAAATAATCTTTTAACCAAACTACATTCAGATGAAAAATTGTGCCCAAAAAGTACACATGGTAAACAGAAAGCTCCATCAAATATATTTGAGTATGTATGCAATGGAAATTTTTCTATCCATATAAATTGAAAACTTCGTCCATTTTTGATTTTAGAAAAAATAAACTTCTTACTAGGAACAAAAACCGATTGAACTAAATTTTGAAGTTCAGAATTATTTAAAGTTTTTGCAACATTTGAATAACTAGTATAGTTAGAAACCAAATAACCAATATCGAAATTGTTGGAGGGTAAAGAAAATGATTCACAAAAAGTAATTTTTATAAAATTGGATAAAAATGTAGATGATGCTAGAAACTAGCATCAATTTATTTTTTCTTGCAAAAGATTACAATCTTGATGTTTAGATTCAACATAGAAATTTATTTTAGTCTGTAACTTTTTGCCAATTACATCGCAAATTTTGCGTTTTAAATTCTCTCTCATTAATAAAGGAGTATAGGAAAAGACGGGTAACATTCAATCATAGGGAGCATTCGACTATTTCAAATATTTCCCAGCATGATTAAAATTACCACTTAAAACTTTTATTCATATTTTGTCTGTTAATAAGCTATCGCCGGAAATAAGTATCGATCTATCTTTATTAGTATTTGCACTTATTTAGAAGAAAATCTAATTATTGCTATAAAAGGTAAATTTTTTATTTATTAAATAATCCGCAAAGAATCTCTTTTCTAACTTTAACCTTCTAAACTTTTTTGTTGTTTATTGTTCAATAATATCTTGAGTTAAAAACATTTGTGTTTGGTTTACTCCAAAAAATTGATTTCGGTTTTTAACAGCGTTTGTTTATATATAACACGTGTGGGGTACATTCGACCTACCTAGCTGGGGAACATTCAACCGGTGCTTGAAAAATACCACGAAAATTTATTTCTCTTATCTTTTAGATGCCTCGAAAATATGTAACATAAACAGATAGAAATAAAAGAAATGAAAATGTGGTTAAGAAAAAATTATTAGTCTTATCAATAATTCACTGTCTGAACCACAAGCCGCAAAAAGATTTCATGCCCAGATATTTCACAAATAGTATTCTAATGAGAGAACCCAGTGAAAGTCTAGGGGTAATAGGTACACCATTACAAAATAATTTACTACTCTTATCTACCAATGAAACCTCCTCCAGCAACTACTAGAATAACTCTAACAATTAAAAACTGATTTTAGAATATGTGCGGTTCTTGCCCAAAGCTTTTCAAAGACAAAATAAATAAAGAGGAAACTAACTCAACGATATATGCTGACTCCCCTGAAAAAGGAAAAGTTTGAGAATTTTCATATGGAAAAAATTTAAAAAAAGAGGAAAAGTTATCAACCTGATAAAAAAAATGCTTTAAAGTCTGCGACTCCAATAAAGTCGTAAAAAACGGCATTGTTATTTTTATTTCGATATAACTTCGCAAATCTTGTTGTAAAATAGCTATTACTATTTGTTTTTAAATATTTTGTGGAAAAATTTTACTAGTATAATAAAACATTTAAAAGAATAAAGGTTTATAGATTTATTATTTTAATGATTAATTTATTATTAATAATGATATGGTCGAAAGTACCCCTTTAGGTGATCGAAGCTACTCCAGTGGTGGGGTACATTCGACCATTTTAAGGTTTACATTTAAAAGAGTAGTAGATTTAAAAAAAAAAAAAATTATAAACATTATCTTTTTAATTTGTTTGTTTAAGACCATTACTTGTAAAGTTAAAAAAATGTAATTGTTTCTGGCAAAAAAAACAGTTGTAAATTAATAAAAACCAGCTGTTGTGTTCACTATTTTAAATATATATCTACTAACTCTTATTTTATTTGTATTAAAGATTTATTATAATAACATAAATATTTACAACTATTTTTATATGAACAAACATAACTTACTACAATATCTTTCTAACTAACGCACGAGTTCTAATGCGTTCCACATTAACGAACTCTTACCAATCATAATTTATTTCGTTACCAACTCTCAACAGTTCCCCCTGTTTGGGAAAGTTTTTATTATTACACAAATAAATAAATCATATTGATAAGTTTTCAATAGTAAAACTTTATAGGGCTATTAATTCGCTTTGGATGTGGTTTTTTTTTAATTATTTTTCTTTCGATATCATTTACTGGTGTTTCACGTAGTATACTTTCGGCTTCAGGTTTTAAGAGTTTTTTTATAAATTGTATATTACGCGCAAAATAGTTTCCTTTTTGATCGACTACAATTATTAAATTTTGTTTTCTTTCTTTAACTATATATTTCTTGTGTAAGTATTTTGAGTCTAATTTTCCTCCCGGTTTATGGCGTTTAACAAGAACCTGAAATCTTTGTCATAGGGTGATTTTTTAATTATTATTGAAGGAAACTTACTTTTGATATTTCTATTAAATAATAACGTAGCTGGTGGTTTGCCAGTTGTAGCATGAGGTGCGCATTTATAATTTCGAAGCATGCTTTGAAGTTCCTCTCTCCAACTTTTCCCCATAAAGTGAGTTGTTTTAATTGTTTTTCCTATAACTTGCATAAATTTTCTATGATACCGTTCGCTTGGGGATATTGAGGCGTTATTTTAATGTGCTTTATGTCAACATTTTTAAAGTATAGTTTTAATTCTTCGCTTTGAAACGGTGGTCCGTTATCACTTCTAATTTTGTTAGGATAACCAAATATAGCAAATAATCTTTCTAGTTTACTTATGACACTTGAAGCTGTTGTGATTTTTATTATATCAACAAATGGGTGTCTTAAATATAAATCTTCTATAACAAATAAATACTCTTCTGACGGTAATGGTCCGAAAAAATCCATTGCTAATTCATCTCAAACATGTTCTTGTAAATTAACATTTTTATTGGTACATGATTTGAAACACGTGAATTTGCTTGACATCCCAAACACTTTTTAACATATGCTTCTATATCGGTATTCATAGTGACCCAGTAAACTTTGTCTCAATAAGTCTTTGCATTTTTCAACACTTAAATGTCCTTCATGAACAATTTGTAAAGCTTTTTTTTGAAGCGTCTTTGGTAAAACAATTTTTTTTTCTCTTAATATGATTCCTTCGTGATTAGTTAACTCATTTTGAAATTTACGATACGGTTCAAGTATTGTATTGCCATGCCATTTACCCGACAACAATGCTGTTTTTACTGTAATTAAACTGACGTCTGTTGCTGTCTTTGTTTTTATATCTTCGAGTGATATTGATTTGGGTGCCATTTTTGTCACTAAGAAATTTACATATGCTGCAATTCATTTTCATCTGACTCACTATGTATTTCATTTAGAGTACAGTTTCTAGGGATAAAATCAGCAATGTTCTCTTCTCCTTTTTGATATATTACATCGAAATCGTATGTCTGTAATTTGGTTTGCCATCTTGCAATACGTGCATTTAATTTAGAACCAGAAGAAAAAATGAACTTAAGAGGTTTGTGGTCCACTATGACCTTAAATTATTTTCCATATAAATACAAATGTAACTTTTCAATAGCCCATACCAAGGCAAGAGCTTCCTTTTCTGTAATACTATATTTTAAATCGGCTGCGTTTAATGATCTATTTATGTAGCAGATTGGTTTAATCCATTTTCCTTCTTATTGTAAGAGTATTCCACCAATGGCATGATTACTAGCGTCAGTAATTAACTGTACTTCTTTGCGCGGATCATGAAAAGCCAAAACAGATTCACTTGATAACTCGCGTTTAAGCATGTTGAAAGCGTCATAATGTTTTTTTTCCCACTTAAATTTTGAATTTTTCTTGAATAGTTCCCGTGTTACTTTTGTTTTTTCACTGAAGTCTTTATTAAATCTTGATAGATATGTGCATAAACCAAGAAAACTTCGAAGCTCACTGACCGCTGTTGGTGATCTTGCATTCTTGATAGCATCTACTTTGTTTGGATCAGGATTAATACCATTTTTAGATATTTCAATACCAAAATATTTTATTTTCTCTTGAGCAAAAATACACTTTTTTTAATTTAACTTCAGACCTAATGTCCTTATTTTGATGAACAAAAGTTCTAATTTTCTTAACAAGTCTTGTTCGTCTGATGCGTATATTATAATATCGTCACTGATAAATTTTATTCCCTCTATTCTACCATAGCTTTGCTCCATCGTTTTTTGAAAAATTTTGAACGAATTGTTGATCCCATATACTAATCTTTTGTGTCGGTAGACTCCCTCATCCGTTTAAAAATGTGTAATTTTTTTTGATTCGATATTCAATTCTAGCTAAGTATAGGCTTCCCTCATGTCTAGTTTGGCAAATATTTTTGAACCATGCATTTCATCTATTACCGAATCTAATGTAGGTATTGGGTATCTTTCACATTTAATTGCTTTGTTTATGGTTCTAGCATCAAGACATAATCTACCTTACTGTCTTATTTGCTTTTGGTACAATTACAAAATTACTTATCCATTCTTGTGGTCCTTCAACTTTTTCAATAATGTCTGCTTCTTGAAGTTGCTTCAACTCTGCTCGAATGTCTTTTTGAAGGTGATACGGATAACGACGCAAATTTTGCGTAACTGTTTGTATGTTTTCTCTACGTGAAGTTTGCATTGAAAATTTTTTAATTTACCATGTCCTTCGAATATGTCTTCGTATTTTGAAATTAACTTTGTCACATTATTTTTTAAATTTTAAAGTGACTTTACAATTTGAATGCTCAAAACTATTATTACTTTGATTCGTTGGAAGTTTGATTTTATAATCAATGTTTTTACACACGTTAGAATGCTGTACAGCTTCATCTGACTTATTATCCACTGAATTCATATAATTGTCTTTATTAATCACAAACTTTACACTTTTGGCAATTTTTAAAATGTTCAACTCCTTAGCAGTTTCAATTCCCATTATATTTCCAACATTATTTTTATCTACGGTATATATATTGCTTGTAGTTATTTTGTTTTTAGCTTCAATTTCAGCTTTGAAACAACCTATTAACTTTAAAGGCTTCGAACATATGGAAAGATGGTTGTTGATGATTTCTTGATTATTAAATTAGGATTGTTGCTTCTTATTCTTTCAAAGGTATTTTCATCAATTAAGTTTACTCTGGAACCTGAGTCAATAATCATTTTAATCGTGACATTTTCCACTATTACATTTATTGTTTTTGTTTTATTAGATTGTCTTTTTCGTGTTGAACTACATGTCAGGGCAAGCGTTTCTTCTGATTCAGTTTCTGAGCTGTGTTCACTTTTAGCTTTATTATTTATTTCATTAACTTGTCGGTTTCTCCTATACAACGCTTGCAGAGTATTTCGGCAACAAATAGCTGAATGATTTTTCTTTTGACATTTAAAACACATTTTTCCAATGGCTTTGCAATCATTTTGGTGTCTAACAAAGTACTTTTCCCCACATCGAAAACATAACAAGTTATTTTCTTTTTTGTCTATATTATCATTTCGACTAGGTCTCGATTTAAAGTTTGTCGTTTGTTTTCTTCTTGTGAAAAAGGTTTGTTTTTCTAAATGATCTACTAAGTCGATTTCCTCTGAGCATACATTTGCTTTTTTATATGACATTTCTTTTGCCTGTTGTTCTGACACTTCCATGTTTCGACCAATCTCAATACATTTCTCGAAATTTATTTCTCTATCTTTAAGTAGTTTTTGTTTTAATTTTAAGGAATAACACGATGATATGAACTGATCTTTCACTGTCTCTGTAACATTTGGAAAGGCGCAATACTCCACTTGTTTTTTTAATCGCGTAATAAAACTCACTGTACTTTCCCCCTTCATTTTGTTTAATCCTCGTAAAGACGTAACGTTCGTATGTAATATTCTTTCTTGGACTGAAATATTGATCCAGTTTATCACACATTGGCTTGTATTGATCGGTGTCAGTTCCTTTCATGGTTTTATAGGTTTCTTTTACATCCTTCCCTGCTAGATGCAGGGAAGGATGTAAAAGACTTTAGTGAAAAAACAAAAGTACTACGGGAACTATTCAAGAAAAATTCAAAATTTAAATGGGAAAAAAAACATTATGACGCTTTCAACATGCTTAAACGTGAGTTATCAAGGGAATCCGTTTTGGCTTTTTATGATCCGCGCAAAGAAGTACAGTTTATTACTGACGCTAGTAATCATGCCATTGGTGGAATACTCTTACAATAAGAAGGAACATGGATTAAACCAATCTGCTACATAAGTAGATCATTAACGCCTTTTTTTGCGCGTCTTGCGTGACTCCAGTTGCAACTAGATATAATTCAAAATCTTCTTTCCGTGTTTCCCACTGTTTGTCTAAATTAGTTGTGTCGTTTTGATTTATAATAAACTGTTCTACTCCAGGTAAATTATTAATTATTTTCGCCATAGTTTGATCTTCGTCGCCAACTGTTGTGTTCGCTATTTTAAATATATATCTACTAACTCTTATTTTATTTGTATTAAAGATTTATTATAATAACATAAATATTTACAACTAGTTTTATATGAACAAACATAACTCACTACAATATCTTTCTAACTAACGCACGAGTTCTAAAGCGTTCCACATGAACGCATTCTTGCCAATCATAATGTTATGTATTTCGTTACCAACTCTCAACACCTGCTAAGTGGTCGAATGTTCCCCGTCTTCCCCTAATGGTTGTGTTGAAAAGGAGGAAAAAAATTTAAAATACCTTTGTAACAAAAAAGGAGATAAAAAGATTTAGTATTGTTTAATGAATTTATACGAGGTAAAATAGTATGGCTAAATAAACTTTTATAATTTCGTAGACCAAAATCTGGGTATAAACATTTTATTTTTTTGTTGCAAATACTTGACAATGCAAGAATACAAAGGAAAGAAGACCTGTTTTTATCATTACAATTATTAACAGCTTCCTCTTGTATCAATTTTTCACATTTTTTTCCTGTATCCAAAGAACTATATTATACTGACAAAGGAAGAATATTATCAAAACATGAAGAAACAAAAAATTAAAAAAATTAAGAATATTATCAAAACATAAAAAAGAGCTTGGATTATTATTAAGAACATATAGAAAAGTTGGGTGGTTATTATAAAAATCAGTGTTTAGGAAAAGTTCAATAGAGGTCAGTAATCTTAAATCATTAACTATACAGTTATTCCCAGATAGACAAAAGAAGATAGAACTGCTTAGGCAGTTTCCAGTTGTTTGAGACCTAAGATATACGTAAAATATAGCAATTAAATAATTTTCATTAAATTAGTTATGTGTATTTTTAAGTTTTATATTTATTAGTTTTATATTTATTAGTTCTATATTACTTAAAAAAATCATTGCATTGTATCAACAAAACAATATAATAAAAATATCAGTACCCTAAAACAAGAAAATTGCCATTATGTTTTTCTTTGAAAATCTTTGGAATAAAGATTTCATAACTTTTGAGTGTCTCACCTTTAAAAGAGTCAACAATATTGGCATCTTTAAAAGAACTGACATTTGTTTCCAACTTTTCTTTCCAGGAGATT